TCAGTCCTTACTCAAAAGGCCTGAGCTGCCAGGCAGAGGCTCATATTCTTCTCAGAAATATATACTCTGTTTCTGGAGTATTCAGAGAATGTGAGGCGTGATTCCCTGTTAGAAGATACACTCATGAGAGTCTTTGGGCCAGGTTGAGATTTTTCTATTGAATTCAATTCTGTCTTTATTTTGTGAGTAGATCTTTTGAGTCACCAGGCACTACTTGGGTCTTGTAGAACTCTGATTCATTTCGGTGTGGCCTGTGGCAGGATAAATGTCCTTTTGGACTGTGCGCCCGATATAAGGAGCTGTTATTTATGCCAAAAATGCAGCAGATGCTTTATAGTACTGAAAACCCAATAGGCATACAACACAAAGCTGATACATTGTTGAGACTGACAACTATTGAATGTATCTATGGCTTTCTCTGCATTGCAACCTCACAAATTATTTATTTCAAATCAAATCCTGCTGACATCATAAGAAACAATTTGTCGGTGGATAATTCCTGGTAGTGGTTTGACAAGTTGATTAAAGAACAATGACTGTTTGCTATGATCAACAGTGCTCTGAAAAGTAAGGCTTAGGTAGAGATAGAAATGTGGCAGTTTGAAAACGAACAGGGTTAACTTTGCAGAACCAGCCACACTTTTGCTGCCTCTGAGAAAAGAGAGTTCTGTTACAAGGATGACAGTGTTATCTTCTCTGTGTGCCCTTGCTGTTTGGACTTAGGTTTCCAGCTAGTTCGGTGAAGCTAAAGTGAATGAAGCTTAAGAGAGGAGGAGTGGGCTCTGGGGTAGGTGTGAGCCACTTGTGTCAGGAAAGTATTGGGAAGACAGGGTGGTTGTTGAAGCATCTGTATGACTTTAGGCTTTCAGTCTCTTGCATGTCTTTCATGACACTTTTCCAAGCAACCATCATTAAAAAATGCAGGGTGTTTTTTGAGGGGGATGGGGGAATTATGAGTGTGTGGTTGCTAACATTTAATACCGCTCAAGTGTTCAGTTTTAGAAATGTGGAAAAAACTGTGAGATCACTCTCACCTACCCAGACCTTCAAAAAAGACATTCAGTCAAGCCATCATCAACATGGCAGGTAGTTACTAACAGTACATGCCATAGAGGAAGGTCATTGCTGATTGGTTGGCTGATTTAAAGCCTACCCTTGCTGATTGCCTCTGAAACTATAGGTATGCCTGTATAGAATAATTTATTGTCATTATTGTTGTAATACACTGGGAGTGTGAGTATTAGAGTGTGTAGTAGCATAAACATTGCAAAGCAAATATCAGTTCATCGGTTCATTAAAAGTCTATTGAATATAAAGCCTCCTTACATCTGCAGCTTATTTTTTCTGATTTCATTATGTCCAGGTTGTTGCTATACCTTACTCTGATAGCTTTAAAAAAACCCAACCAGTACTTGACCTTTTCCTCCAGTGGAACTGTTTATGGACTATTTTCTCATCTTGCATGGTTTTGTGTGTGTGTGTGTGTGTGTGTGTGTGTGTAGCAAAGCCAAGAATTATTTAAAGCTTTATTGTCTGCAGATTAATGTCCATTAATGTCAAGAAAAGCATGTGCTACAGCACTACTGAGGCTGCATTATTTCAGAATGTAGGTGTGTAATGCCATATTTGAATTTTCAGTTTGCTCCTTTCAAAACTCCTTGCATGTAAAACCTACTTTGCCCAAAAGAAGGTTGAACTAGAGCTCAATGTCCCGATACTCCTATCTCCCTTGCAAGGCTGGCATTAGGCAAAGTGAGACAATTTCAGGCTGGCAGTGCTGGCACTGAAACAGGCAATGCTCCTTTTGACTTTGAAAGTGGTAAAGTTCCAGAATACCATGTGCCCTTGCTGAATGTGTAGATTGCTCTCATGGCAAGAAATGTTGCTGAATGTAACTGAGCGGTAATGGTTACCTTATACTTTTTTTGGCCCCTAAGGATAATAATGTCCAAATATTGCCTTTGACGTTTGTTTGAACTTTTGAGAAAGACAAATTGTAACAGTGGAAGATCTCTGATCTTACTTTCACACAGAAGTAAATCTTCTTCAACACTAGAAATAAGGTTTCAAAACTTTACTTGCAGAACTTGTTTCAAATGCTATAAAATAACAAAGATACATTGTTTTCAGTTTTACAAACGTTCTCCCACTGGTCCCAGTGTGAGCCTCTAAATATATTTTACTAAAAAGTAGCTTTCTAGCTAAAGATCAAAATACTATGTCTCGCTCTTTCTGCTGCATGCATTTTGGCCAACACCCAAAGACCAACAGCTACATGGATTTATTTCTGTGTTTGTGTGAAGCAAGCAGCTTCATCTGCATATATAAACACTAGCAAAGGTACTCAGGTAACAGCTTCTCTCACCACTGCCTTGTGATTTAACTTGTGATCCAAACGTAAAACTCAGTCACAAGGTAGGCTACCACAATCCATATGGAAAAATACTGGCTACGTGCCTAAAGTATTCTTTATAGCAACTTGAATACAATGCAACTAAAATACAGCATGCTATGTAACATTTCATAGTTTCATAATTTCAGCAAAGTCTCTGTCAAATTCCTTTTCCTTAGGTTCAATAGGTTTGAAACCTTCCCTTTCACTCCTTTCTTTTTGATAATGTTGCTTCCTCAGGTGTTAATGTGAGCCTTGCAAAGTACACAGAGCTGAAGGAGAAAGTAAGAAAGAGTTTTCTTCCAACTTCCCCCTTCAACAATATATACTTTTCATAGAATCATAGAATCATAGAATCATAGAGTTGGAAGAGACCACAAGGGCCATCGAGTCCAACCCCCTGCAAAGCAGGAAACACCATCAGAGCACTCCTGACATATGGTTGTCAAGCCTCTGCTTAAAGACCTCCAAAGAAGGAGACTCCACCACACTCCTTGGCAGCAAATTCCACTGTCGAACAGCTCTTACTGTCAGGAAGTTCTTCCTGATGTTTAGGTGGAATCTTCTTTCTTGTAGTTTGGATCCATTGCTCCGTGTACGCTTCTCTGGAGCAGCAGAAAACAACCTTTCTCCCTCCTCTATGTGACATCCTTTTATATATTTGAACATGGCTATCATATCACCCCTTAACCTCCTCTTCTCCAGGCTAAACATGCCCAGCTCCCTTAGCCGTTCCTCATAAGGCATCGTTTCCAGGCCTTTGACCATTTTGGTTGCCCTCCTCTGGACACGTTCCAGTTTGTCAGTGTCCTTCTTGAACTGTGGTGCCCAGAACATGGGGGAAGGTAATTACTCTTTCCACACCATGAGGAAGGGACAGTAAGTAGGACCCTTATTTTAGTTGGGGTGCTCAGAGGTTTCACAGACACCCTAAGAGGTCCTCAAGGACATCATTGCAGCAGTTAGGAGTGTGTTGATGACTCCATGGTTAAAATATCATAATATTTGTGACAGATCCATCCCAGAATAAACAAAACTGCTAATTAGAATCAATGAGTTTCAAGCCCCTGGTTTTTCCATTCACATATGAGTAATGGATATCTACAGGAGGTGAATGTTGAAATTTCTTTTATTTGACAACATATTTTAGCTGTTCACAATAAATGGTATGTTTTTGGAAATTGGGCATATTTAGGGCATTTCTGTTTCTTTCATCCTTAATGTCCTTTTGGATGAATGATGACAGAATTCTGTTCAGATATATTCAGAACATAATGAATTTGTAGGTTCTGTTCTACATTTCTTGTGCATATTTAAATAGCCCTTCTTATCAGAGAGGTCTTTAGTTTGCGTTCTCTTTTTCAGTCATTAGGGAAAAGACACTGAAAATCTTGCACTCTTGGTAGCTCACCCCATTGTGTTGTTAATCACAAGTCTTAACCAAACCAGAATGGTGATGGGGGTGTCAAGAAAAGGGCTTATTTTATCATATGTAGTGGGAATATAAAATTGTAATATACTTTTGTAGTACAGTTTTTTTTGCTGAAGTATCAAAAATGATAAAATTAATCACATAAGTGAGCTTGTCATAACCTTTTTTTAGTCAAATAACTTGATTTGAAATAGCCAAAAGGTGGAAAGACTGACACATCAAACTTTGGTGTCAAAGAGTATGGCACTTAGCCTTGTCAGGAAAGTTAATACATTAGTTCAAACCCTCAGAAGAACAGACTGTAGCAGATTTGCTTTTATAACATGGTATCCTTTAATTCAATATGTCAATGATGGTCTTTCTCAGATGCCACACATTTCACCAGTACTTTTTCAATGAGTTATTGAGATAGTTCTCACACTAGTTGTGTCCTTCATTCAGGCTATGTTATCTTCAGGCAGTCTTTTTCAGTCAACCTGTTTATTGAGCATTCATTCTTAGTTGTCTGCTGGGAGGTTATATGATGTCACATCAAAGAATTGTTACCCATATTTTCCAGTGCATTTCCTTATCCTTACCACTAAGAGAGCTTTTCCCCCTTTTTGAACTGGTTTTGTGCAAGGGTGCAAAATCCATTTAATTTTGCAACCTGAATTTGCTGGTATGCAGTTGAATTCCACCTGTAGTATAGCATTAGTCTAGAAGTGCTTCTGTTTCTATTTAATAAGAGTATATTTTACCTATACATTGATTGAAGATTGTTTTATTTTGGGGGGTTTGCTTTGCCTCTTACATTAACTTTTTTTAATTCTAGAAAAGGGTCCTCACATCACTGAGAAAAATAAATCTGTTTTCAATCTGTCTGACATGTCAGATCTGCAAATAAACTTAAGAATAAGCAGGAACACGTAGAGTTCAAAGCTGGTTTGCTACTAACCTGTTTGCAGTGCTTGTTTGCCATTGCTCTCAGTCTCTTACTTTGTGGCAGCTTATAAAGAAAGGGAAATCTTTCTCATTTCTGCCAAAGCAAAGGCTGGGGGGAAAACATCCCACTTTGGTATTCGCAGTACAGTTATGACAAATGCATGGCCTGTGTTCTGAGTGTTAAGGGAAATGTAAAAACATGTCTAGTTGTTGTGAATGCTCACATGGTGATTTGTTGGTTTGATTCTTCAGGTCGTGATTTGGCAAGCACAACCCTCCCTGGATACCCTCCGCACGTCCCCCCTGCTGGACAGGGCAGCTACTCTGCTCCAACGCTGACAGGGATGGTGCCTGGTGAGTTTCCATTTAAAAAAAGAAAGAAAAGAAAGAAACAGTCTTTTAGCAGCAAAGCCAAGTGCTGCCTTTGTGCTCCGCTTTCATACCATTGGCAGGCATAGTAATGGCACTGAATGAAAGAGGAGATGTAAAACAGGCAAACTGAACTACTGCCTTTCTCACAGTCTTTTAATTTCACCTATGCTGCTGTTCTATAGCTCAAGTAAACTGAGTTCAAGCTGATTTAGGACTACTTGAAGTTAGAGGGAGACTTAAATTCATATGCTTTGGGTTACATAGGACTGTGGACTGGAAAAAGAGAAATTATTCGGTCAAAACATGTAGGAAAAGAAGTGTCTAGCCTTGCTGGCTGTTGGATACACATGATAAAATGTACATAAGGTTAATCTCAGAGTTACCTCACTTCTCTGAATTTTTGTCATGTGAATCATTTTAATTAACTTTGCTATAAGCATTTCTTGCAATTGTGCCAGAGGAATCTCATACTTTGAAATTATGCTGCTTAATATGGGTGCCTGCAAATGATCTCTTCCAAGGCTTTTCACACATGAGATCTTAGCCATTAATGTCTCCAGTGAATCACCTAATGTTCCCTTTTGTTCACCTTTGGTCTTTCTTATATTTGCTTTAAAAGAAGCCAACCATTTCCTGGGCTGTTACTTGATGTAAGAACATCTCAAGCTTGGGTATGATAATTGAAAGTGCCCTCTGCCAGGAGCAGGGCTTTCAAATTTTTCTGACAGTGGGGAAGAGTTGAAAAAGTTTTACTCAGTACTTTGTAACATCAGACTTTAATAACGCATGGATACTGGGCAGTATTTAGTAACATTAGGAACTGGTGAATTATTGCTCCATATTTAGAACTGTAGTGAAGTGGTAGAAATATTAAATTTAAGAAAACTGTTACTGTTTACAGAGAGGGACTGGTGGAATTTCACACACATTTAGAAAAGACATTTCTCTTCCCAAACACTGGAAAGCCACGTTTTCAATTCACTGGGAAGAAGATTCAGGAATGCTCCATCCTTGACAACTGCACTCTGCTTCCTCTGGTCATTCAGGCAGTCAAAGATTATTGGTCCAAACACAAGTAATATAAGCAACATCATCCACTCTTCTCCCCATTGCCATGAACTTTTTGTTCAGTGAGTCTATGCTGGATTAAATAATTGAGTCCGTCCCCCCCCCCAATTCATTGTTACCAACATAAACCAACCCCTCTATTCTTCCCTAGCTCAAATTAAAAATGTAATCTGAAAATCCCAAAGATCTTCTCTGTTATAGTGCTACTTCACACATGCACCTGGCTTTAGGGATGAATGAATCTGCTATGTTCAGAATCTCCTAGTTTCTCATTTTTCCAATCTTGAATCCCGCTCCCACATTCCTGCATCAGCTTCCATTATTTTAAAAAAAGGTTTCAAGAGCATTTGTAAGCATTTTAATGTGCATTCTCCTAATTTTTGCAAGCAATTCCCCTAAGTTGCATTTTGCATACTATTTGCACAAGCGTATAAAATATATTTTTCTACACGTTATTTGCTTGGTGAACTGCATTGCAAAATTTGGATAAGTGCTGATATTAAAGGATCACCGAATTTTGGGTTGTGTGTGGTTTGAGAATGAATTAGGGACCCACACGAAAATGTGAATGGAACTGAATCCCCACTGCCTGGCCGGTTACCTAACTTATGCGAACTGAATGTTGTACCGGCTTCCTGAAATCCTCCTTCACACTCTCAGAATAGGCATATTTTCTTAGAATCATTACACACAACATGGACTAATTGGAGAGTATGGTCATAATTCAGGCTGGTCCTTTAGACAAATGTTCTGCATACTGCGCAGTCTCCCCCCTTTTTTCCTTTTACTAGCAGTCTGTTCCTCTGCCACATTGCAAGCTCCCTTTAAAACTTCTGAGTTTTAAAAATGGTTGGTCCATCCCTCATGATGAGTTGCTATTAAAATGTTAAAAACCAAAGAAAGTATTTGGTGTCAAGTCACATGAATTAGGACCTGCAGTATGGAGTGCTCCTGTTTAAGATTTCAGCCAGCCAGCCAGCAATTTCTTAAGATATTCCATTTTATTCCTGTCCAACAACAGCCAGTCACAGTTCTGTATGTAATGGGCATATTCAGCCCTCATTGGATTGTTTTGGGCCCCCTCCCCCATATATATTCATATATTGGTAAAAGTGCATTGGGGGCTGAAGTATTGTCATAAAAGTTGTGTATATATATGCTACACAAGTGTTACACAAATATTATCGTTCCCCTGTGAGCTGTTCTAGGGCTTGTCCTGACCCTCCCCCAGGGTTGGATTAACTTTAGAGACCCTAAGCACTTAAAATTGTATCAAACACAGCACAAAGTAACTGTCCATTCAGTGCAAGGTTTACAGTTGTGCAACACTACTTCCCTCCCTCACCTCCATGCATCCCCTAAATCTGTTCTGGGTTTCCCCCAACCCTTTAGAGCAGATTTGGGGAGAGGGAAGGGTGCATGTGGAGGGGGGGGAGCCCTGCTGCACAAGCATGAATCATTGCACTGATGGGACAGTTGCTTAGTCTCATGCTCTACCAACTGAGCTAGCCGGGCGATGTGACAGTTGCTTAGTACTACATTGGATAGAAAACTATGTTTCTAACAACATACACCTGTACAGATAAAGTTCCATGTTTTCTTTTAATAGCAACATTCTGCTCTACAAAAGTGAAAGTTATCTGCTGGTTTTAAAAAGCCTTCTTGCTCATTTAAACTAGGCTTTGCTAAGTAGCATCCAAAATAACTTTCTGATCATCTCTTGTCACTTATTGTTTGGAGGGGCAGTTTCAGAAGCCTCTTATGAATGCACTCAGTCTTTTATGATTTGGCTCTCAAACAGCCGGCAGATCAGCTTTATTACACACACATCAGTGTTTGTACTCTAATATGACTGAATTATTCTGTCCTGACATTTATACAAGGAGGATTCATTTCACCAGTTCTCAGAAACTCACTTCTAGACATACTGATCTCCTGTAATTTTCAGAGCATATGCAAAAAGTGGATACAATAAATCATTTAATAATTAGCCATGAATTATGCCAATGACTAACTAACATGGGGTGCAAGATACAAAGCGAGTAAGGGAGTTTTTGTTTCATGTTTTTTGACATTGCTATATAGCTTGATCCTCTTCTGCAAAGTGCTACACCAGGGGTGGCCAACTCCCAAGAGACTGCGATCTATTCCCAGAGTTAAAAACTGGCAGTGATCTACCCCCTTTTGGGGGGTTGAGGTCAAAGGTGTTGAGCTTTTTGGGGGGAGCCGAAGTTGTTGATCTACCACAGAAGTCCGATGATCTACTGGTAGGTCACGATCTACCTGTTGGACATGCCTGTGCTATACTATAGTCTTTTAATTTCTGTAGTATTTGCCAAAGGATGTGCTAGGTAAGTTGGAAGCAGAATTTGTGATAGGCAGGGCAGAACCATTTACCTTCCCGTCACAGCAGTACCTATTTATCTACTAGCACTGGTGTGCTTTCGAACTGCTAGGTAACAGTAGTGCTGGTGTGCAGCTACTGCTCATGTGAAGAACTGCACCATATATGGTACTTTCAGATGTTGCTCTCCTGAGTGTTGGCATGAGCAAGGCAGTTTCCATTCCTGCAGTCTTCCCTTGGGAGAACAATGTCTAAATTGGCCCTCTGTGGCATATAATTGGGAAATAATATGAAACGTGGAGCATGATCAGCAGAGAGGTTAGCATGATATACATAAATACTGCATGAACCTGAATTTGTAGCTGGCCTCTCAATGGTTACACAGCCCACAGTTCCGAGGCTGGATGTAGATTATCTCATTTAACGTGTCATTACATATGTGCTTCTCAATGTGCATGCACTTGTGGAGATTGTACTATTATTCTCCCATGTATTAGATTCTCACAAATGATTGATGGTGTAGACCTATGGTAGATGGTTACAAACATGCTTTTTGTTTTGGTCTGCTCATTTACTTATTGGGATTTAGAACCAGTTCTAACATGACAGCATTTCAAGTTGTTGTTTTTGCACTCAAGTAGCTAAGATGCAATGCATATATTACTGCTTTGTGGTGTGGTTGCTTTTGCAAAAATGTTTCCCAAGGTGAGATCTCATGGTAAATCACTAGGAGTCCTTTAGGGGAAAGAGCATAGCTCAGTGGTGGTGCAAATATATGTTTTGCATCCGGAACCCTCTGATTCCATCCCTGGAATCCTCCCTGGAACCCTGGAGAGGTACTGCTAAATAGTTCTGAGCTAGATGGACCAATGGGTTTGACTCACTATTAGGCAGCTTCCTCTATTCCTATGCACTTTGAATCTTTTAAAGAAAAAGGAAGATGTAAGTATAATAGGTGGAGCTTTTGGATTCTGGAAAGACAAGCAGAGCTATTAAATGTCTGCCTGTTAGTTTGTTTTTAACCAGACTCTGGCAGCAAGCAACAGGAGATGGCTGTCATGCTTTGCTTGTGAGCTTTCTGAGCTCATCTTGCAGGTGACTGTAGGAGACAGGTGGACTCTTGGTTTGATTCAGCATATTCTTGTTAGTGATTTGTAAGAATATTTATCACATGTTCTGCACTTTTACTGGAGCCACATTGTGATGCAGGCAGACAATGTGGTTAGTGCTTTTATGAGAGTGTGGGGGATGTGCAGGTGAACAGTGTTGCAGCAGCAACCACTTTGCAGAAGTAAAATGAAAACTGTGTTTAAGGCTGGTTGACCCTTAATGGCAGTGACACTTTCACACAGCTTCTTCCTATGCCTTTCCCATAACATGATCAAGAAGGAACAAAAAGGGTCTGGATCAATAATGTCATTTGGTTCCATACAAACATTCATTGGCTATGTAGAAGAAGAGGAGGAGGAGGAGGAGTTTGGACTTGATATACCGCCTTTCACTCCCCTTAAGGAGTCTCAAAGCGACTAACAATCTCCTTTCCCTTCCTCCCCCACAACAAACACTCTGT